GATTTTATTAATGTGAATTAAAGTTTCGTGAGAAGGATGGCCCAATCTTTGGGGCCAAATGTTACATTTATCAATAGAAACATTATGAATGTGAGAAAAATGAGTATAATGGTGTTGTAAGGTAGGGAAAGTGAGAACATATAATCTATGATCACCAATCTTCTGCAGGGTAGGGATCCTTTATATGAAGCATTTGTGAGAGTTAAAAAAACATTGTAGTTAAGGTTTCTAGTAAATTTAGGCACAACGATTAAATTTGTGCAAAAGTTAGGTATGAACAGGAAATCAGTAAGATAAAAGTTATCAGTAAACAACACAGTTCCTGCAAGCTCAGTTTCAATGACATTACCATTGGGGAGTTTAACATGGCTAGGGTTAATCATAACTAAGTGAGTGAACATATATTGGGAGTGGCACACATGATATGTGGCTCCAGTGTTAAGAATCCAACTATTATCAGTAGATGTAGAAGAAGGGATGGAATTTATCATACTTGAATTTGAGTCAAAATGGCTAGTAAGGTGATGAATTGTAGGCGCGGAAGAAGAAGAGGATTTTTGAAGAAAGGCTAGCAGGGCTTGTTTTTGTTCTATAGTAAATCCAGGAGGTGGACCTTCAGAGATGATTTGTTCTTGTGGCTGACTGTGATTTGATCCATTGTCATCAGAGCTTGTGGAATTGGTGAGGTTAGCTTTCTTCTTGTATGGTGGAAAGCCATGTTTTTTGAAGTATACCTCTATTATTTTTCCAGGTTTTTTTACATAAGGTGTATATTTTGAGGCCACGACCATGACCATTTGAAGCAGTCTTGTTCTAAGTTTCCCAGGGCTTGCCTTTGTTGAATGGTTTTGAGATTTGAGCAACAAACTTATCTTCCTCTGCAGGTGATGTAAACTGTCGTTCTTGTTGAATCAATAGAGAGAACACCTTGTTGATCGGGGGAAGGGGTTGCATAAGCATGATGCTCAAGTAAACCGTCGAGTATTGTTGGTTCAGGCCTTTAAAAAAGAGAATAACGTAGTCGTTCTCACGATATTTCTTGATGGTAGGGATAAGCATACAAGTACATTTGACGGTGCAGAGGCATGAAGGGATGAGGTAGAAATTCTCCAGTTATTGCCAAAGTTTCTTTAGTGTTATGAAGTATTGGGTGATGGAAGAGTCGCCTTGGCGTAAAGTAAAGATTTCTTCTTGAAGAACTGAAACCCTAAAAATATCCCCTTGATGGTCGCGATATTGGAGTTCTTGCCAGATTTCATGCGCAAAGTCCATCCACAAGATGCTTTCAGAGATTTCTGGTTCAATGGAGTTGGTAATCCAAGCCATAACCATTGTATTACAGCGATCCCAAGCCAATGCCGTGTGATTTAAAGAATTTGGTTGGGGCAAGGTGCCATCGAGGAATCCCAATTTGTTTTTGGATCTGAGGGAAACCTTGACGGAACGAGACCAAGAATGGAAGTTTTGATTGTTGAGAGATGGAAAAACGATTGAAATACCTGGATTGTTGTTCGGATGCATGTAGAATGGATATGACATGTCCGTTTGATATGATCGGTTGGAATTTTTAGAGTCTTTTTTGGGAGGAGGTGATGGTGGTGGTGTGGGATTTGATGTGTTAGCCAAGACGAAGATGGTGGTGGAAAAAACTGTTTGGAAAAAGAAAACAGAAAAACAAATTTCAGAAAGGGACCACGAGAAAGAAGAAAGAGAGGCCACGACAAAAAATATGAATAAGAGGGTGACCAATTAGAAAAAATAAGCCAATCATAAAATGTGATTCAGATAATGGATAGAGAAAGAAAATCAGAGTAGTAAATATGATACCATATTAACACATTATTATTTGGCATTGCAAGAGTGGTTTAAAAGTGAAGCTTCATTAAAAATAATATTTGAAGACTTGCAATTGCAAATGAAGGAATCTACATTAAATAGTCTAAAACTTCTAGAAAGCAGGTGACTTAGTAAGTAACTGCAACGGATAGAAAAACAAAGTATAACATATACTTATTCTAATTTAATACTATTTATATTCCTTTTTATAAAAGACAATTCAATTTTTAGGTTCATTGAAAAATTAATGTATCTAGTACATAAATTGACCAAATATATTAATTATTCAATGAACTTAAAAAATAAGTTGTCTGTTATATAAAAGAACGAAGATAGTACCTTTTAATCGAGGATCTATACAAAGTTAAGAAAACACCACTGTATTTCTTACCTGCCATACACCATAAATGGTTTCTGCAACAACAATTTTCTTTTTCAACATTTTCTTTTTGTTTCTTGGATTAGCCAATGCTTTTTATTAAAATGGATTTCGATTCTCTTTATATTATATAAGTGATGGATATACCATATCGGTGTGACGTTACTTGACATGATTATTGTGTGATAGAGAAAATAGTTGAATATTTGTTTAAATTTTTTCCAAAACTCTTAATCTTAGTTCGACTATTATACTCAATGAAGTGGGAGAATTTAACATGTCAATTGTATAAAATTGAGAAATAAATATTATTTATTTATTACTTTATAGAGACTTATGTTAAGAATCTGTTAGTAATCAAGTTTATGACTATTTGTGTTACATCCTCAATAATAGTTAAATTTAAAGTCTCCTATTTTTCTGCTGCGTATAATATAATGTGTTTCTTAAATGTGTGTAGTTATATTTAGCATTTGAGTATTAAGTGAGTTATTAAGATGTTATGTATAATTATATATTATCGGTTTGATCTTACTCAGTTGATGGTAAATCTTTTATATGACCATCATATTCTTTCATGTGAAATTATATAGATAATGATATATTTCATTTACATGCAAAATATGTGACTAAAATGATGTTATATTATACAACCACTTTTATGTATAGTTTTGCTTTAAATAATATCCTATTGTTCAATCAGAGTATTAAATATTAGTGGACTTTAAACTATTGGTTCAGTGGGAGTGCATGTGTACACAATCATATAATCTGAAAAAATTTAGATTATTATTGTCATAGTGTCATATATTCTTGCGCGCACTGTAAATATGACATATTATAAAAGAACTTTAAAATATGAAATAATTATAAGAAGTCTTATTATGTTATATACTGAGATATATATTATTATCTTAATCTCATGAAACATCATAATTTGATGTTTAGGTCGATATTGAAAAGACACAACAATTCTTTAGCATGCAATAATATTATGTTATTCTATCTTCAATAGTCTATATTTGTCCGGTCATAATATGAAAGTACAAGTAAATATCAATACTCCTATCGAGTATGATATTGTGTTATGAAACTACTTATGATTAAATGTAATTACTCTTGTAATAGAGTATCCCTATATATAATTACAATTCTTAGACATGTGTGGATATTCTAGGACCTTTAATTTGAAAACTCATTAGTATAATCATTAACCAAAGACTTATACACATGAGTAAGTCTTATAATATTTTTGATTAGTGGAAGTTTATCAATAACATTTTTATATGTTTGGGTCATTCTTTATAACATATTACTCTGAAGTTAAATATGTTACTCTAAAGTCATCATTATTTATATAAAGTTATGAGTTTTAACTTGTATAATTTGTCTTTCATATCAGATACAATTTCTGCAGCATTGAAGTTTACTTCTTTTTAATTGATTAATGTTTTAACCATTATTGATATTATATATTAAAATCAATATTTTTAGTAATGAATTATTGTCATCCAAGTAGGAGATTGTTAGATTAATTAAATAGTTAATCAAATATGGATTGACACAATTAATTATTAATTAATTATATTATGGTCTATTGTTATTAAACACTAAATAGATAAATTGTTTGATTAGTGTTCCCCATTAGACAATTAATATACTTCCCTAAATAACAATGAAGATAATAATTATTTCATAATCACTCTTCCGATAGTCGTCTCTCAAATTCTACAACACACCGTTTCTATAATATTTAATTATTCTTTGATATAATAATATGCTATCAATTTAATAAGCTCTAATAAGACAGTAAATGAAACATGTGGTCGAGCATAATTATTCAAAAACAATTTCTCCCATTCCACTAGTTCTTTCTCTCCTCTCAAGGCTTTACACATGACAACAATTCTTTCTCTCCTCTCAAGGCTTTATACATGACAACAATTTTGTATCTTCCTGTTTGTAGCACTTCTTCCCAGTAACAGGTTTGTTCCACTTTTCCCTTGCATTTCAGAATATTGTTCAGTTTCCACGAGCACTTTTGAGTAGCTTGCCATACCATTACATCTTATGTCTTGAGATAGAACTTTTTTTTTCTTCTCTAATATAGTATTTACACCCATTGTTTACTTTTCTTCACTTGTCATTTTCTTTTCTAAAGAACCTTTATTTTTCCCCCCTTTTATTCAAAATTATTAAATGTTCTTTTTTCTTCTATAAATATTGCGCAATACTACTTAATCAAATTTTTTTGAGTTTTTCTAAAATTTATTCATAATCATTTGAAATTGATTTAATTTTAATAACAGTGTCAATAGTGAAAAAATTTAATAAAATTTTTCGTTATCTATCTACAAAAAAGATGTGAGCCAGCTTTGCAAAACAAACAAAAAGAAAAAATCAAATATAATTTTAAAGTCTTTTAAAACTGATTTATAAAATAGACTTTAAAAACTAAAAATCTAAAGTATTTCAAACAACCGTATATGTTTTAGGTTTCTCTATGCATTTGAGAAAGCTTCGAAATAGCATAACATTTTAGGTAGAACGAATTACAACTGATTAGTGCTCTACTTGAAAATTAATATGTACTGGTAGTAGATAGTAGCTACTCTAATTCTTTTTGATAAAATCCATCGCGGTAAGCTTTCTCTTCAAGTTGAACAGAGATAAAACGGATAAAGCGAATCAAAATCCTAAGAAGTTTCCAGAACAGCAAATGCGCATAAAGACTTATTTGCTATTTTCTAAATCTGAATGACTAAATTGCTCCACCGTTACACAATTACAATCCGGTGGCAATGACACCATAGGAACTATACATGTTTATATGAACATCCAATCGACCCGGGCGCAACAATGCCGGATCAAGCTTTTCCTTGTGGTTTGTTGTGAACACTATAATCCTCTCATCTCCACAAGTTGACCATAGCCCATCAATAAAATTCAGCAGCCCATATAGTCTAACCTGTCCATTAAATCATTGAAACTTTTTAAAACACTTCAACACAATAAATAAGATTTATTAACTATCAAACACATACACCAGAAATACTACGCCCACACTGATATGATAATCACAACACTGACATTGACACGATTTGAATAAAATGAATAAGTTAAACGTAATAACAACTAACCTGTAGATCCCTACTTCTGCCAGTATTTCTACAAGAGCCACCGGATTGTGAATTACGATCCTGAAACTCAAATGTACAATCAATATCATCAACAACAACGATAGACCTATTCGGCATAGCGATCAACAACGTCCTAAGCTCGTAGTTACTATACACTTCAGTAAGTTCCAAATCGTAAATATCGAAATGCAAGTAATTCGCCATTGCAGCAATCAAACTACTTTTCCCAGTTCCAGGTGGACCATAAAGCAGATAGCCCCTCTTCCAAACTTTTCCAACTTTCCTGTAATATTCCTTTCTCCTAAGAAACTTTTCCAAATCCCCCTTAATAAACTCCCGTAAATCACGGTCAAGTGCCAGCCTGTCAAAAGTCGATGGATGATCTAACGTGGTCCCCAGCCAAACATCGTTCAAATTCCCGTACAGATTCTGGTGATCAACTGTGAAGATTCTCAGCGCTTTCAGTTCTTGTTTCTTTGATCTTGCTTCTTCAAGAATGAACGGAATGTATTTAGAGAGAACCAGGTCTTGGTGCTTTTCGTGGAATGTTAATTCCAGCGAACGGATTTCCGATTTCAAAGTGGCGGTTATATCGTGTTTGTTGGGGAGATTCTCGACTTGGCGGTAAAAGAGAGTCCAGTTGAGTTTAACGCCTTTGAAGTAATCGGTTACCGATTGGTGACGTTCCATTGTGAAGGTTTCTTGGTGATCGGATTTGCTTACGCAGAGTTTTTTTTTGGACGGTGAAGCTATGGTGCCGAGATAGATTTCGGCGGCGGAGTAGATTTGGTTGTTGTCGAGGCCTTCGAATTCTTCGATTACCATTGTTAGATCGGGGAAGAGACGGTAGAGAGTGGTTTTGATTCTGGTGTAAATGTAGTGACGGAGGCCCATTCGGAACAACTTGTCGGTGAATGAACGGGAACGGGCTATCATTGCAGAGGCGGCATCGACGGTAGCATTGAATGCGACAACGCCGGCAGCATAGGCGGCGACAACGACGGCAGCATTGATGGCGACAGTTGATATGATGGTTCTCGCGGTTGATAGGTTGGTCTCCAATGAAGAAGAGGTGATGGAAGAAAAAAATGACGACATATTTTGTAGTTATTGATTTGAGATTTTTGGGTTTAGTTGGGGTTTTAGGGTGATGTGAAAATTTATAGTCGGTGTGTGATTTTGAACTAATGTATATTTTTGTTAAAGGATTTTTATATGCGAGAAAGATCTGGATGACTGAAAATCAAATAGACTAGTAGTACTAATTAACCTGTCCAACAAGTCAATACTCACATATTCTTCAATTGGAAAAGAAAAATACAGCAATTCAAAACAACTAGTAAAATACAAGTATGTAATCCACGACGTATGACGAATATCAAGATGCATATGATAAAAAATGATCAAATGCATAAACTGCAGAAATAAAATTAAAATATAATCTTTATGATTAGATGCATGTAGATAGTAGAGGCAGACTATAGATAGTCGACATTCATATTTAAAATGTAAATGAACATACATGAATAAAATATTTTTCATGATGGAACGAGTTAATTATCACTATGTTGTTATGATCTTTAACCTAAATTACGTATTAACAACATATTAGAGAATGATGAAGAGATAAGCGAAAAATTAGAAGTTTATATAGATGATATGATCGTCAAGTCAATCAAAGAAGAATTATACGATGAACACCTAGTCGGCGTGTTTCAAAATGTTTGAAAGTTTAATATGAGACTCAATCATGAAAAATGTACCTTGAGTTGAGAGTAATGGCTGAAAAACTAATGGGCTTCTACTTGACAGTGTTAGATATAGAAGTGACACATAAAAAGATAATAAAATTAAACAAAATGCTCATATCCCTTAACAGATTCATCTTGAGGTCGGACTAGCAAGCGTTGTTGTTTTAAAAGTTACTAAAGAAAAAAGCACGATTTGAGTGGACTATAGAGTGCGAGCAGGCATATGTATCTCTAAAGACAACCTTATCAATCACACTGGTGTTACCCCTTGGTCATCGAATTTTTGTTCCTTTATCTAGTCGTCTCTACTAAAGTAGTCATTGTCATCCTCTTACGGGAAGTGGATTCTTGTCGGAGGTCGATGTACTTTATATCTAAGGCGTTGACTGGACATGAAACATGTTATCAAAATATAAATAAGGGCTAATAACTATTCTTTTCCCTGCCATTTGGGCAAAATTTGAAAAAACTTCCTGTAAAAAAAAATTTAGATTCCTCCCCTAACATTTGAAGATTCCCCTGACTCAGACTTCATTAAACCAACTCATCAACTTGTCTGACGTGGCTTTGCCTATGTGTAATTCTTTTCTTAGTGACATGTTATTAGTATCCCACGTTGTCGCTACTGCGAAAATCGGCGCCGGCTGAACAGAAGAGTCGCCACCGTGCGTTATTTATCCCACGGGAGGGAAAGGAAACGCTCAGAGTAAACCTCGCACAACACGGGAAAGGTATGGTCGTCGCAACCAAAACCTGGATTCGGGAGTCGGTTACGCAAGGGGAAGGTATTAGCACCCCTCACGTCCATCGTACTCGATGGGATCCACGCTTGTTTTCGGGTATGGATTGTTATTCTATCTAAACTATAGGTCAAGGGTTAAAAAGAAAATAAAATGAAAATAAAAATGACTCGGCAAAGTATCGCACTTTATGCCTACGTATTCCCGCCTGGAACGAGAAATCAGAGTCAACGTAGTTCGCCTACCTACGGGAAAGGAGGGGAAGGTTGCTCGCTAGGATATCGCATCCTATGCCTACGTACTTTCATACAGCATGAAAGATCAGAGCAAACGTAGTTCGGGCCACGTACGACACAAGTCTGTCCTTGATTGATTTTATTCCTTCTGAAAAAGGGTTTTCTGATTAGCGGTCCAAGCGGACAAAAATGACGTCTTGATGCGTTCACATTCTTTTACGGAAGAAGTGTCTTTTATTGAGTTTGAAATCTTTATTGTGTTTTTCTGTTTGTTTTGAGAAAGAAAGAGACAGAACTCTAACCTACGGTTGCGAAGGGAATCAAACTAACCTAATGTTATCATGCATGGGTTAAGACCTAGTGTCTATCATGCTCCTCTCTTGCACAGAGAGAAACAGAGATCCTACGGGATAGGCAGAAACAGAAACAATATCAGATATATATAGCAAAACAGTAAAATGCATGGATGCAACAGTACAAGCGAGGCAAGGGAGTCCCACTCAACCTCGAACCTGGAAAACAATAGGCAAAAGTGAACAGGCTTCACTTTCAACCCAGCAGGGTAGACAGCAAACAATACAACCAGGAAAACCAATCAATACATCAGCAATGAAATACATCAGCAAAAGAAACAGCATCAGCAGCTCTGAATCAACATCTGGCTTCAAGTAATCTCCAATCAGCTACAGGCTTCAACAAGCATCAATCTCCATCTTCATGGCCTTCAGGCAAGGGCTTTGATCATCAGTCTTCTATCTGCAATGGCTTTTCTTCAAGCTCAAACCTCCAGGATGAGGAATCAGTCACAAGAGTGAAGTGAATGAATGTTAGACAGTTAATTACCTACCAAGGGTGGTTCATCAACTGTTAACATTAAACAGAAAGTTTCCTCTCAAAAGTTCTATCTTTCAAATATATTCACTGATCCTTCCAAAGGAAGGAGGTGGATATTTGAAAGAGACTTTGAATCATAGAGAAAGGATGGATGCAGACAAGGCATTCCATGTTTGAGAAACAAGCTTTCTACTCTAGAGCTCTGCCTAGCTCCTAAACCCTAGTCTCCTCAACAGCTGCTAGCAAGAATCTCCTCTCCAACTCTGGCAGTTGATCTTCAATCTCTGGATCTCCAATGGTCTTCATCGCCTCAAGTCCCCAGACAATCCCAATACCCAAGCAAGCAAGCAATAATCCCCGGAGGGCACACCACACCAGTCAATCAAATATACAGAGAGTATTAATAGCAGTAGGGGAATCCTGACTTTTTCTCTAAGGGATCTAATAACTACCCATAGCCCCTATAGTCCCATAGCTAAACTATTCAAACCCTAAGCCCTAAGGGAAATGAATCAAATCTCCTAAGTCATCACCTAAAACCCTAGTTTTATCCATGTTGTTCAAGCCTACATTAAGCACCTAAAATTAATTTCTAAAAATGGGAACTAAATTGTTTCTACAAGTTCAATATCTCATCTAAACAACCTAAAAAGAATGAACAAAAAATATGAAAGCATCGAATAGAACAAAAATTAACAAAATCAGGCATGAAATGAAACTATTTAAAATGTCATTTATTTAGAAAATATGAAAAAAATATCAAATAAAAATAAAATGCATTTTTTATTTTTTTATAATTTTCTACACAGAACCAAGAAAATATAGAAAAAACAACCACTAAAAAAGAGTTAATTTCCTATTTTATATGATTTTCTAAAGTTGGTAAAAATTAAAATGAATTAAAAAAACTAAATCAATTAAAATGAGAGGGGGGGGGGGGGGGGGGTTTATAAAGCAAACACGCTCAGTTCATATCAGGATGGGCCAGCAAACGGGGGTGCGCGTAGCAAGTTTGAATTAGGCCCAGAACAAATCAGAATTAATGAAAATAAAAAAAAAGAAAGCAGGGGGTGAGAATAGAAAGGTTTTCACGTTCAAATCAAATTGGGCTCAGTACTGGGGGGTGGGGATATCATTAACACACCTAGGCCCGCCCGTTTCATTAAATGAAACGGTGCGTTTAGGGCTTCTACCTCTCTCCCTCCAAATCTTCAGTATGAATGAGAGCCACACGATGGGCTCTGAGGTCAATGGTCCAACAAGCGATGGACGGCCATGATTGCGTCTTCCTCCTTGGTTCATGAGAACTAGGGTTTCCCTCCATGAAAACTCCATGCACGCATACTTTCAACCTCTCGGTTCTCTCTCTCCAGTCCATGGATCAACACGATATAAACATGAAAAACACTCCAATTTTCTTCCTCTACAAGACTATGGTGGTAGTTCATTTTGAAACTCAACAAATCACTCAACCCGAGCGCATGACATTCTTGGTTCCATTAAAATACTCTGCAACTCATCCTCAAGATTCTCAACCAAACCTATACTAATCTATTCTATACTTAATGGTGATCATTCTGATCTATCAAACTAACATTATAATGCACTATGCTACTCGTTCTAAGTCCTAACAGTTCTAACAACCTGCTAACAACTATCACTAAACAGCACCAAATTCATCCTAATCGTTCTACTAACAACCTAAATCACATCTAAACTAATAAAACCATGTAAATCTATCTATATCAAGCTATGGCAGAGAAAATGCACCTGATGCAAAAGCTTGGAGATGGATGTTGAACTCGTGGATCTGAGGCTTCTAATGCTTGGATCTTGATCAACTATCTCAGTGCTTGATTCTGTATGCAACACCTTGATGATTCTTGCCTTGGATCTTGCTGTCCACTTGAAATTGCAATTTGGATGTTGATGATTATAGTGCTCGAAAATGGATCAATTTCAATCAGATCTTTGTTGATCTTTAGTCCATGATGATGATTGAATATGATGGAATCAATATTGGTGAGAATTGATGAAGATTTTGAGAAATTTGGATGAAATTGCAATGAGAAAGAATGAGAAACTTTGGGAAATTTTTGGTGAAAAATGAATCCAACCCTTGCTCAATTCTAATTTCATGAATATATAATGCTCAAATGAACTTTCTAGAACCATCTTGCAACTTCCCTTGCATTCCAAATTGAATCCATTTTGGTTATGTTTCTTCAAATGCAAGTAACCATAAATAACTTTGATTTTTTCCACTAAGCTCAAAAATGTACTTGAACCATTGTTCTTAGAATGCCTTTTGGACCCAAAATCATATATTGGAAGTCTCCATTTGGACTTATAAATCTCTCAAACCATTTTTCACTTTGACTTTATTCAAGTTATAAGCCATTTTAGTTCAAATTTAACCAATCATGCAACTTCATGTTATGAGCTTTTCCAACAATTTGTGACCTTCTTTCTAGACTCAAAATGTCATTTGGAGCAAGTTTGATGTTGTAAGTTTTTCCATTTGAGGCCTCCTTGTA